GCGTGTCAGTTTATGAGCCTGTAAATTGTCGTCGACGTTCTGCTGTCGCCTTTAACTATTGGAATAACATACGCCGACTTTCTATCGGCAGGAATTGCTCAAATGTGAAATGACGCTTAAAAGGCCATCGACAGCTCACTGACAAGTTCTTTGAGAAGCCTGAGTGGAATCTCTTCAGATTCTGGAGACTTCTATGCGTTCAGTACCTCTTATTTTCCTCAGACACGTATTCTGAGAAGAGTTTATTAGTTATGTTCGGAGTCAGCAGGTCTTCTGCAGAGGGAGAAAGGAACCTCGCCTCGTTTATGTAGGTCAATTGGAAAAAATTGCGAAAATACGCAGCTTTATCTCTGGTATCAGCAATCACAATGCCGTCGGTAGTCTTTATTAAGGGGATTTGAGGTCTGTTCCTTGTGTTTTTTGGAGGTAGCTGTAGAGTTATTTTGGGTTCTGCGTTGTCCCTCGTAACAAATTCTTCCCGAATTCCCGGCGCATTTTTATAATCACGCTTCTCAGTTTGTTTCTTTGCGTCTTGTAGGTCTTATAAAACTCAACTTGCCCAGAGACGCAGTGTATTCTGCACAATTTATATTACCTGTTTTTGTTTGTATGTATGTGTCTATTTGGCCATAGAGGTCCCTTGTGTTGTCCTAAACTCATCGGTGGGCAGTGGATGTTGGTTAGCTGCAGAACGAAATTCCTAAATAACTCCTTGTCATTGCCGGCGTTATTCGTAAACACTGAGCGCCGGTTGACATCGGATAAGCTTGCCTTCATCTGATTGAAGTCACTTTGCCAAATTTTGCGTCTTGCTTTGTCTGAAATGCGTAAATCGCAGAATAATTAGTAATCTTACATAAGCACTATATGACCACTTCGGTCGAAGTGGGCGTACAGATGACCTTGTCTATGCTGTCCGATGTCTTCGTGGAGCCAGATCCAGGTCCTAAGCCCTTTGTCCTCCACGCTTCCTAGTTGAAAACACGACGTGCAGTGTGAGAAACGCTTTTAGTGTTTTATATAACAAACCATAGTCGAATGTCGATTTTGGGTATGACGCCTGAGCAGTGCCTCAGTTAATTCCTGGTGCGTTGAAGTCGTCCATGATCATATTATTAGGTCGAATGAAAAATTTCCCAATCTGTCCTATATGAGAAGTGTGGGCGATTTAGTGTCTCCTAGGTGGTCGGTAGATAGTGAGGATGTCACGGCACGTCGACCCACTAGACTTGATGGTCAACCAAATGGATTACTTGCTGCATGCAAACTTAGTCTTTCGCATATACAATTATGCCGCCACTCTAACGGTGCACCCTATCCATACGAAATATTTGGCACTCAGTTAATGTTATCTCGCTATCACTAATATGTCTAGGCAGCCGCTGTTCGGTTACTGCTATCGCATCCGTAGACAGTTCGGTAAAGCGACTTGTAGCTCATCATTTTTTTATGGGAATGTGTGCATAAACAATTCAGTTTTGTGCCAGCTGAGTTTTCGGTGACGTTGTTCACCGTTGTGTGTCTTTCTTCGTTCCATCCCACGTTATTTTCACCAAATTCGGTTCCTTTCGCCAGGATACTTAGTGTTAACGGCTTAGTCCTGCTGCTGTTTAAAGCATCTGATTTCACAATAGTGCCTGCGTTAGTTGGATAGGTGCCGTTTTCCTTACTACCACTGGCCGATTCAACCAAATCTTCATATTTTTTGAACAACCTCCTCCTTGATGATAGCCAGGTTGTTCTCGTCATCCTTCGGTGTCAGTTTTAATTCGATACAGTTTGTCAGCGTTCCAGGCGTTCCGTTGACGAGTAATCCGGTTGAAACACCCGTTTATGCGAGATCCGGTGGCTATTTTTTAAAAAGGAGCATCTTAATTCACTTTTTGTTTTCCAGCATAATTTTGAGAGGATACGGCGATAGTGAGGTTGTCCTATAGTCATTCCTTTTTACGGCCCGGAAAGCTTTTGGATCTCTTACTTCCACTCCTGGGTAGACTAATTGATTAAGCAGACCATGGAATGAAGTAAGATCCCCTGAGAGACGGTCTTCAAGTCTAACTGCATTTGCTTTAGACAGATACCGAGTAAGTAGGTTCTAATGGCGGTCCACACATCGTTTGCTTTTTATTTTCTGGGCTTCGCTGTACGGGGACGAGTACGATATATGAATTCCTCGTTTGGATTCATCTCTTTGCCGTCGACTAAGCGTCTTGAGCAATTCACCAGGGTCCATCGCGACTCTATGCTCCTCTTGCGGCGTTCTCCCACTCCCTAATCACGATTTCCTGTTTTGAATTTAAATATGTGATCTATAGGGCACTGGAGGCAGTTGAAAGGACATGATAGTAATGCTGCTCTGGACAATATAGTTATACCACATTTTGGCACAAGACAGCTTTTGTCATTTTTAATAATAGGAGCTGGCGAGGTGGCTCCTGCAACAGGCAATATTTTCGTATCTTCGCTTAGGTCACCTTGCGAATAAGTAAAATCCGTCTTTGTTAGAGACTTCGTTGGGACCATTCTGCTGTCACCGATACGCGCGTCTGTACTCACTGAGTCGCTACGCGCCTTGTACGATTGTCTTGAGACGATACTATTTTGCGTTTTTCTCTTGTCACGTTTCGTCTTTCTGACTCTAACACTGACAAAATCATTTTGGTGATGAATATTCTGCTAAAGAGGCGCCTTCAAGTCTGCGAGCTCGTTTTCAAGTTTTTGTCTTTGATCATGATATATACACATCCGACGGAAGGTTTATCCTCGTGTCCCACGCTTTTCGCGGCAACTGCAATTTTGGCGCGTTTTCGTTGGTCACTGGCTAGAAGCTCATTGAGGGCGAGCGCAGACCCTGCATGCGAAGGCCATCTCACCAGGTTTTCCTCCCAAGAAGATACTGATACTGGTCGTGCTAACACTGTTACTTTGGGGAAACTCTATAAAGTTTTGGATAAGAGGAAGGATCTGGTCTCGCTTTCGAGTATTTAATGAGTACTTCGGACTGTATATGATGAAGTATAAATGGTATCCAAAACTCAGTGGGCGAAAAAAGATAGATGAAGTCTGACAAATTGCGCTAAATCTATTCAGAAACGGCTCAGCCATTTTTAGGTCTTGAAGGACTTGGATAACTTCAAATGTTTCAGAATTTTTGACGTTTAGTTCCCTGGACTATCGTTGGCCGCGATTCAATTGGCTTAACCAGTTAAACTGTGCTGATAAAAAATTGTACTTGACCTAGTTTCCTGATGAACTTTGACATGTGAAAAAATACTTCAGTAATGCAGAAAGTAATTATGTACGTAATGCTCCAGGATCAATATCTGAGATATTAACTGAGAAGTGATAGTAAGATTAGTTTCAGTTTGAGCGCCGAATACTGCCGTTACATTCAGTTTGATTTTTACACTCCACCCACGTTTATGCTATAAATGGGGTACAAAAAGCCGACACATATCTGACGTAAGTTATTTCGTTCCCGCGAACTAATGAACTACGGCTTACCAACCTCATAAACGGAGAGAGGTAAGGAAGGCCAGTAAGTGAATAAAGTTAATATTCAAAATGTGCAACGACCTGACCAGAGAGCATGCAAGCGGCGCGAAGCTTACAAGCGGCGGAGTCCTAGTCGCGTTAAAACAAATGCTACAGTAAAACAAACGTGAAAAGATTGTCAAAGGTCAAGTAGTCAAGTACTTCATCACAGTACCCCCCTCCGAGACCGGAGGGCGGCGTGAACGACGCCGGAGGACATACAAAGGTCTAGGAGAAATGAGTATCTAGACGATCGGGAAAGTGAACATGACGTCCACTGCGGGTGATATATGCGGGAGGCACTGTTGGAAGCAGTTGAGTAGGTGTTGTAGTGGACAAGTTAAGGGTGGAGGAAGAGGTTGCAGTTTGATGCTGCGAACAAGAAGGAAAAGGAAGTATACGGGAAGGAGGGATAGGTGGGGAAAGTGGAAAAGGAGTGGGGGGAGGTATGGAGTCAGCACATGCTTGTCCTTGAGACACGTCCGGGGGCTCCTCTGCAACATCAACCTTGATCCGTTCGATGCTGACTACGTCCTCTTTGTCACCTCGCAGGATCCGAAAGGTCTTGCTGTTACGTGCAAGCACACGGAACGGTCCTTCGTATGGTGATTCTAACGGCTTCCGAACACGATCACACCGAACGAAAACATGGGTGCAGTTGGCTAAGCCTTTTTCAACATAGGGCTCGGTCGATGGAGCTCGAGGTGGAACCGGAAGTTGAGGAGAGTTTGGAAAAGTGTGGACTCAAACTGTGCGCCTCAATCAGTCGTAATCGTGGATGGCGCACCGAATATGGCGGCCCAACGACTGACGAAGGCTTTCACAATGGTCTCAGCTTGCACATTCGGTAAAGGAATAGCTTCCGGCCAACGGGTATAGCGATCAACGCAGGTGAGAAGGTGAGTATAGCCATTGGATTGAGGTAAGGGACCTACGACATCGAAATGCACATGGTTGAACCGTGCATCGGGGCTGGGGAACGTGCCCGATGGAGACTTGTTGTGGCGTTGAACCTTCTTACGTTGACAGCAAAGGCACGATCGTGTCCAAGCTTTCACATCCTTGCTCAACCCAGGCCATACGAACCTTTCCGCGAGGAGCTTCTGTGAGGCTCGAATCCCAGGATGGGAAAGTCCGTGGAGAGTTTGAAAAACAGCTCGACGCTTCGAGGCAGGCACATAAGATCGATATAAAGGAGTCGATACGTCACAAAGGATTGTGCCAGTGCCGGTGGTCAATGGGACGTCGACTAATTGAAGACTGTCAACAGACTCGTCGCCAGGGCATCCAACACGTCGTTGTTCAGCCTCCATAGCACCAAAATCAATCCCGTGTGAGAGGTGAAACGCCGAGAGGGAAGGTCTGGACAGCACGTCGGCCACGGCATTCTTCGGGCCATCAGTGTGACGGATGTCGGTGGTGAATTGCGAGATGTAATCCAAATGAGAAATCTCTCTCGGGTTGTATTAGTCAGAATGGGATCGGATGGCAAATGTAAGTGGTTTGTGGTCTGTGAAAATTGTGAAGTCACGACCCTCAAGGAAGTGTCGGAAATGTTTTACGGCTAGGTAAATGGCAAGAAGTTCACGGCCAAACTTGCTATATCTCGTCTCGGCAGGTGAAAGCTTCTTGGAGAAGAATGTCAACGATCGTGTCGAGTCGTTGATGTGCTGTTGGAGGACTGCTCCTACGGCAACGGTCGAAGCATCAACCAGCAGGGACAATGGGGCTTCTGGAGCAGGATGAGTGAGCAAGGTAGCATCAGCAAGGGAGGTCTTTATTCTCTCAAAGGCAGTCAGCGCGTGGCCACGTAACTCAAGGGGACCCTTGGGACCAGAGAGCAAGTTGGTGAGTGGCAGCATAAGGTCGGCACAGTTCGGTAGGAACCGGCGATAAAAGTTTACCATGCCAAGGAAACGTTGCAACTGACGCTTGGAGGTTGATGGAGGAAAGTCACGAATGGCCTAAACCTTTGAAGAGAGGAGACGCAAACCTTGTGCATCGACATGGTGACCAAGAAAATCAAGGAAGGGCACACCCAGAACACACTTAGAAGGGTTAATGACCACGCCAAACTGATCGAGGCGGTCAAACACTAAGGCAAGATGCTTTTTGTGTTCCTCGGCATTTCGACTGGCCACCAAAAGGTCATCGATGTAGGCGTACACAAACGGGAGACCACGTAGGACTCGGTCAATGAACCTATGAAATGTTTGGGCAGCATTGCAAAGACCAAATGGCATGCGAATAAATTCGCACAGGCCGAATGGTGTGGTGACGGCAGTTTTGGGAACATCCTCAGGAGCGACAGGAATCTGATGGAAGGCCCGAACAAGGTCAATCTTCGAGAAAACCGATTTGCCGAAAAGAGCTCCAACAAAATCTTGAAGATGATGGACGGGATAACGATCCGGGATGGTCGCATTGTTGAGGGCGCGATAGTCACCACAGGGCCGCCAGTCGTCTGATGTCGCCTTGGGCACCATATGCAGAAGGGACGCCCATGGACTCTCGGACGGGCGAATTATGCCCAGTTGAAGGATGTGCTCAAATTCGGCCTTCGCCGCTTGCAGACGGGACGGAGCCAGTCGTCTAGGCCGTGCGAATACTGGGGGGCCAGAAGTGCGAATGTGGTGGACAACGTCATGCTGGATCTCACCACTGCGAAACTGGGGTTTGATTATGTTGGGGTGTTGGAGGAGCAGGTCTCGGTATGGGCAAGCAATACCTGTGTCCAGAACAGATAAATTGCAGGAGTCATTAAAGGGTGTAAGACCGCGGACAGAAAGACCAGTTGTGCGGTCGAGGAGACAGGAACGTCGACAGTCAACAAGGAGATCAAACTCGGCTAGGAAGTCGGAACCAAGGATCGCATGAGGCACATCGGCAATCACAAATATCCAGGAGAATGATCGACGTAAACCGATGTTTTGCGTTAGGGAACGACTACCAAAATTGGAAATGGGGGAACAGTTTGCAGCTTGGAGTTGTAGACCAGGGCTGGGACAGCGGCGGTCAACTGGAGTGGGGGGAATCACGCTGATCTGGGCTCCGGTGTCCACCAGGAAACGCCTGCGAGTCACATTGTCGCAGACATAAAAGGTGCGACCAGAGCTGGGAGAGCCAGAGAAAACGGTCGCGTCTATTCTCTGGCTGGCTGGTTTCCCTGTTTCGGTCTAAATGAACAAGGGGAAGAACATTTGCGAGCCTTGGCGGCAACGTTTGCGTGATACCAACACAAATTGGCTGTGCGAGGTCGCGAACGTGAACGATGACCGCTGGGTGAGCGACTACAGGTAATGCGAGCAAGCTGTAGTTTTAGGGAGGCTATCTCATTCGCCATATCCGACATCTGTTGCAGTAACTGCTCGTTAACCGTTGAAGAGGATGTGGAAATCTGAGCAACGGAAGGTGGCTGGAACCGTTGAACCTCTATCATTCGGTCTGCCATTTCAGCAAGATGTGAAAGTGTAAGGTCTTGCGAGCCGGATGCCAAAATCATTTGGACATCTGCAGGCAGCCGCTCTAGAAACATCTCTTTAACGAGATTCTCGTCGACCTGCATGTCTCCTAAGAGAGTACGCATTCGTCGGAGAAGTTCTGAGGGCTTCCGGTCGCCCAGTGATTCCTCCTTGATCAACTGGTGGTAGCGTTGTCGGTCAGATACAGCATTGAGACGAAGGATTTCCGCCTTCAGAGCAGAATAGGGAGCGTCTGCAGGGGGTTCACTAACAAGGGTTGAACTCGTGAGATAATATTGGCAGGGAGAACCTCCACAAGTTTGTGGTATTTCGACAACTCCTTCGTAATGTTGGCGGAGTAAAAGGCTGACTCAATGCGGATAAAATAAAGTTCAGGGGCGTGTTGCCAGAAATCAGGCAAAGTGAAATGGACGGCATGAACAGACTCGACAGGAACGTCAGGTTGTTGAGTTCAGGAAGACATAATAAGCAAAATATAGGAAGTACAATATCGTGAAAAGGTTAGCGGGAAATGTAAATGAACTAAAATTTAGCGAATAGATACAGGACTTTAAATGTCATTAAATGTTCCAGAAGGAAAGAACTTAAGTCTGCGCTAACGTCGGAAGTCACCAATGACGTAAGTTATGTCGTTCCCGCGAACTAACGAACTACGGCTTACTAACCTCATAAACGGAGAGAGGTAAGGAAGGTCAGTAAGTGAATAAAGTTAATATTCAAAATGTGCAACGGCTTGATCAGAGAGCATGCAAGCGGCGGCGTATTCGTCACGTTAAAACAAATGATACAGTAAAACCAACGTGACAAGATTGTCAAAGGTCAAGTAGCCAAGTACTTCAGCACATATCTATCCCTTAATAAACTGAAATAGACTGCACCCCTGCACGTAATTTAGTTTTCAGCAATCCCTTGTTATAAATTTGCATTTCACTCAGTCCATTCATCTTCACGGGCACGGTGCAGACGTTGTCACAGACTTATGGTGAGCAGTCATCCCTGTTCAACACTCGATTTCAGCATAATTAAGTATGTATGTGGGACATAGGCAGAGCCTTGGAAAACCTTATTTACAGATAGACGTATGAAAAAAACATGCAGATATTCACATAACAGTTATGCCAGTCATCGATATCCAGTAAATGTTTGACCATCATACATAAATTTATCTAGTTTTTTTTGAAGCTGTTAACGTTTCCCGTCAGAACAATGGAGTTGGCAATTTGTTCCATCCTTCATCCAGCTGGTGGGAGAAGAATTTGGCCCGCAATTCAAGTTTGGCATATTTTATCTTCAATTTGTATTAGTGACCTCGAAGATTGGTCATCCGCACCAGTTGGAAGAAATCGTCAAATTGAAGAGCACAGTCTGGCCCTCAGACGATAATGAAGGCCACGACAATATCCCCTCTCTATTGTCTCTAAGAGAGAGGAAATATTTTCAGCTTTTCCAAGCGTCTATCACAAAGTTAGCAATTTAATCCGTCGACCAACTTGGTTGCTCTTCGTTGCACGTTCTCCAACGGGATGTAATCTTGTTATGTCCAGGGACACCATGCCTGAACACAATATTCCAACATTGATCGAAAAAATGTTCAAATACTCGGCCAAAAAATTCTTCGTCAAAATTGAGGAAGAATCTCCCGATTGCGCCTTGGATACCCATAGTCTTCTTTGATACCTTGTGTTAGTGAGACGATGGTTTGAGAGTTGACGTCATCCACACGCCGAGGTCTCTTAACTCATTGATTGACTTGAGTTGGCGACCCCCTATAAAGTAGTGAGATTCAAATCTTAACGGCCTCCTGTTGGTAGATCGCAATAGGATAAGTTGGCATTCGCTAAGTTTGAGGTTAAGACACCACTCATCACACCATTGTTGCAGAATATTCAAATTATTTTGTAACTGTAGAGAGTCTTCCGGCTCCTTTATTGATTTTTACAATTTGAGATCATCGGCAAACATTATGCGCTCGTAGTTCAGGCAATCCAGGCAGTCGTTCACATATATTAAGAACAGAAACGGACTCAGAATGCTCCCCTGCTTAAGGCCACAGTTGACGGTTGCCATTTCGACTCAGCGTGTCGAGACACACACGTTGAGATCTGCCCGTAAGAAAATCGGCTTACCATTTCAGCAGATTTCCATGCACGTCCATTTGACGTAGTTTAAAGATAAGTAGTCTGTGTGGAGCATTAACAAAGAGCTTTCTGAAATCAAAGTACACGGCGTCGACCGATAAACCCCTTTCGATTGATTTCGTCTAGTTCTTCATAGATACTAGCAGGTTAGTAAAATAGGATCGACCCCTTCGAAATTCATGCTGATGCAAACTGAGCAAGTTGTTTTCTTCAATATGCCGCATCAGCTCGTTTTTAGTACCTTTTCCATCACTCTGTAACAGACGCTTGTGAGACTCACTGGTCTGAACCTATTTGGGGCTGTTCTCTCGCCGACTTTATGTAAGGGGATTATATTTACTTTCTTGCAATGCCTGCAACTCTACAAACGAGATTCTCATGATTTCGTCACGTATGCGGTCATTGTCAGTCGTGAGTGTGGACGTTTTTAACTCAGTTCTCTCATTGAAGACCAGTTTAAATGCCTTATATTTATCCGCCGCCTCCAGTCCTCTGAGGATACAGACATCCGGACACGTCTCCTGTCCAAAGTACAATAAGACGACTCAATCACCCTCCAAGAACTGGCAGCGTAATGCCAAACGCTGATTAACCTCAAGCGCGACTCCGCCATGATACAGAACCCTGCCACCTTCTGCTCAGCCCACTGGGTCTCAGTGGCCAAATCGAATCCTGTTATGCGGCCCAAGCAAGTGTCCAAGGCGAGATCACCGCCATCTCATTGTCGGCACTGCGGCGCGTGGCATTTCCACCGGGATCGAACTTTTCGCCAGCATCGCTGCAAAATCTGCAATCAGGTGGGACGCCCTGATCGATTCTGCAAATCAACACCAGCATCTGAAAGCATACCTGCCCCACCACTCCTAATTCTAGACCCATTTTCGGTCAAAACACAAGTCCAAACCCCAGTCCACTGGAAATTCTCTCGGTCTCTTGACCGCTTCCAAGCAAAATGCAGCTGGTCGTTGAAAGTTTGTTGACGTTCTGCTCAATAGCCACGGAGTCAGCTTACAGTTGAGCACAGCCACAGACATCATCATCACCTCTAGGAGACTCTGGTAGTCCATAGGCAACCCCTCGACGCAGCAGACTCCCCAGTCCGCCACAAACACGTGCGATGCTCTCGTCAAGTTAATGGGGCAACTGCAACGTTATGTATTATTCCGCGGTACCAGCACCAATGCGAATTGCTACGTCACCAGGCTTAATTTCAACCTATTTAGTTTCGACTGGTTTGAACAACTTGGTTTGGCCGATATGCCGCTCCGCGTTGTTTGAAGTCAGGTGCAGATCTCCGCTGTGCTTGTGGATCAGGCCAAGGTCAAGACAATTCCGAACCCGGTGGCCCCTAGTGACGTTTCTTCTGCTGAAGCTTTGATGGGCCGAAAACTGCGTGCAACGGTTTAAGCACTCATTCCTGTCGGCGTACAGTCCACGCGGACAACTTCTACTGTCTCTCGCAAGAAACTTCCCGTCAGAACACCTGTCTTTGTTCGTGGTTATCGAACTGGGTCAGTCGAAGCTGGTGTGGTCGACAGGAGGAAGATTCGGAAATCAAAAGTCAGGGAAGACGGACTGGGTTTAGACAACCTTTACTGCTGGAAGTGAATACACAAAGGCTCTGTAAGCAGTCGCCGCGGGCGCGCTCTCAAAGAAGGTTGTCTTGTCTGTGTCCTCCTTCGAGGTGCAAAGACCCAGCGCGTGTGTGCGTCTTTCGTTGTCTCAGCGTCCGCCAGACAATCAGGGGACCGTCCTCGCGAGTCCCAGAGGCCTATCGACAAGGAGTGTGAGACAGACTGGAAGGCAGCGTGGAAAAGGCGGAGGACAAGAAATCGCGAACTGCCACAGGTCCCCAGACTGGATTGAGGCAATGACTGGTATAACTGATATGTAAATATCTGCATGTTTTTTTTCAAAATTCCATTGTAAATAGGGTTTTCCAAGTCTCTGCCTCTATCCCTCATATATACTGAATTATGCTGGATTAAGCGACAAGACAAGGGGCCCATGGTTGAATGCTAGAGAGTTGGACTCTCTAAAATTCAACCCCCAAAAGAACCTGTGCTCGAATCCCAAATAATCCAGACACGGGGTTGGGTCCGTCTACTTGAGGTCGGCGAATGACCCGGAAATGACATCTCAGTCCCCCTTGTCTTTATGGGTAGTCCTTCCCCGCATTGGTACTAGTACTTCCGATGTAAACCTGTTGTAGCCTGTTCCTAAAGAGTCGTTCGTTCCTGACTCGTTTTTCCTCACAGATAAGTCTGCACCTCCGTCAATCTGATCCGCAGGCCTCGTATCATGCAATAAACAAACTCAGTCAGCACTGCTGCGTCGGTTGATTGATTGAAAGAGATCTCCTGAACCTCGGACCAACCGGTTACATCATTTGGATACGTCAAGTCCCCAGGAGCGTGTCTTATGCAAATGGTTAGTAGGAAAACAGTTGTCCAGGACTGTCTGGAATCTGATTTCTTATCTTGTTGTTTAGGAATCGTTCTATTGTCAGTCGTTTTACATGAAAAACCCACTTTCCTAGATCAGTGGGGGGTGCACTGGGCAAAGTTGGACAGGTACTCACGTTAAAGAGGTAAGGTCATTCCACGATCACTGATTTGGATGTACGGACCTTACATGAATTCACAGTGACGAAAATACGTCACCGCAGCTACTCTATCGAAAATTAGCACTCATGAGGGTAAAGTAAAGGCGACGCCGTTCGGGCCTGTTAGTGAAACCATGCCCACGGTCACAGCAAGCTCTTATAAGCAATAAACGAATGGTTCCACCAAACGCATCGGTGAACATGGCGAATATTTCTTCATCGCCCGGTCTCAGATCCCAGCTTTCATTCGCGGTTTTACAAAGCCATGATCAGGCGGAGGTCACACCTTGGTAACCGCCCTTGAGCGGTGGTCTAAATCGGACAAGGATGTCTGGTGGGTATCTTCCCATCGATATTATCTGCACTTATTCCCACACGCCTGCCACAAAATAAAGTTAGCCCGATCGACCGACGCGTGGCGAGAGCACAAGAAACAGCCCTGGCCAGATTCTACGGTCTCCCAAAAGTGCACAATGAGAGCCCTCCTCTCCGGCAACTTGTATCGCTAAAAGGTACACAAACCTACGGACCGGCAAAGTAACTGTTTCGACGTCCCAAGTTTCTGACTTCCGATTCGATTACCAAAGTCAGCTCATCAAAACAATTCCTGGAGAAACTTAAAGGGACAAGTATCCTGTCAAGCCACGTCATGGTATCCTTTGATGACACATCCCTTTTTAATTCTATTCCGCAAGACCTGGCAGTCGAGATCATCGGACTACTCCTATGAGAAAAATACGATGGAACGGAGAATCGCTTTGGACACTTGCGAATCGTCCAACTCCTGAAGTTCTTTTTTAAGACCTACTTTACGTTTAACGGAACAATATACGAGCAGGTGAAGGGAACGCCAATGAGTTCGCCGATCTCAGGACTCATAGCCGAGGAAGTCATACAACGGTTGGAGCCACTAATTTTTCGATACCACAGACCAAAATTTCGGGCTTAGTACTTGGATGATGCATTCGTCGTCATCGAGCGGTATCAGGTGTTGACATTCAAAGAACTTCTCAACGCTGTCTTCCCGGACGTTCAATTTACGATAGAGGAGGAAGAGAACAACCAGCTGGCCTTTCTGTATGTCTTTGTCTGCAGCAAAGATTATGATGGTTTAAATACCAAAGTGTTCAGGAGAGCAACAAATACGACGCATGTACTGAATTTCAACAGTAACCACCCAGTCTCAAGGGCAGTTGCGTAAGGCTGCTATACCGGCGCGTTGAGACGCACTGCAGTGAAACAGGAGACAAGCTTGCTGAGTTGTAATATCTTCGACGATTACTGAGAATCAATGGCTACCCGCGCAACTTTGTCAACCACTGTGTACTCAGACGAATCGAGAAACTAAATCCGACCGGCCCTAAATTTTAGCGGGCGCTTCCGTACGTTAGGGACGTCTCGGAAGCCGTCAGTCGCCTTATCACTCTACTTGGAGTTGGGGTTGCACACAGACCGGAAGCAACCATCAGGCGCGAAGTCATGAGGCCGAAAGACCTGCTGTCAAGGCAAGAAACGTGTGGAGTCGTTTACCGTATCTGGTGCAGTTGCGGACAGAGGAAATAAGTCGGAGAAACTGGGAAATTACTCCGGACGCGCATAACTGGATACGCAGCAGCGGTGAAGAGAAAAGACATCCGTCTAAATGTCACGATATGTGTTTTGGACCTGATAGGCTACCCCAAGCAGTGGTCTTTCAAGGCACACCTATGACTTGATGTACCACCATCAAGGATTTAGGATTAAGCTACACTAGTAATCTTGATCTCTCGCCAAACGCTGACAGAATTACAGCCAAAGCTGCCCAGAATTGTGGCTTTATTTCCTACAATTTCGATCTTCCCGAAATTAAATTAATGCTCTACCCTATGTTTGTATTTCCCATTCTCGAGTATTTTTGCCCATTCTTTGGTTTGATGAATGAAGCCAGTCGTTTAAAAATTGAAAATGTCCAAAGACGCTTTTCTAAAAAACTTTTAGACAAGGAACATCGCAATATCTCCTACTCAGATAGATGCCAGCTAATTAATCTAAAACTTTTATGGGTTCGAAGACTATAATCGGGCTTCTGTCTCCTCTTTCGCATTAATCATAGTTCAAATTTTCCTCGGATTCAGCACTCACCCCTAGTAGTCGCCCATACAATCTTCGCAACTCGTCCTTCACCATACCTCCTCCAGCGTCCTCCACCTCTAAGCGCTCCCTTTTTTTCGCTTCCAGATATACTTTCCTTTGGAATAACCTTCCAATAAATATAAGATCTTCAGAAAATCTACGCACCTTTAAGAGAAGGCTACGCATTTATCTGAATACTGACTAGATTTAAGTTTTATTTTCCTCATCCTTCCCAGACAACTTTTTATATGACACTGAGAAAGGGCCATCGGGAATTTGGTATGCCGCCATTAAATTTCCGTATCTGTTCACATTTCCTTCCTTTATGAGTACCCTGCCAGCACCAGCCCCGCCTAGCCCCGCCTGGCCCCCGCAATAATGGCGGGGCTAGAGGGGGCTATGAGGGGGCTAGGCGGGGCTGTGGAGGGGGCTGTGGCGGGGCATGCAACGCGATAGCCCCGCCTAGCCCCGCCAGCGAAAAAAAATGCGCAGGGGACGCCACATCCCAGCCCACTTTTGGCACCACTTTAAAATATCGTCCCGATTGTCAAATATACGAATTAATAACACACACAGATTGTAAACCGGTGGACAAATAAGAGTTTAAGCAATGAGGGACTTAAACAAAACCTCAATATATTGTGCTCATCCGCAGCTACATTCAGTGGGCGTAAACGGATGCTTTCTCCATGGTTTATAAGCCAATTTTGATACATTAGCTCGTTTAAATTCCAAAGAAGGTACAATATGTGGTGCTTTTGGAACATATCTTTCGATGCAAATACGCTTCAAAAGGCTTCAATCCAGAGGGGGCTCTAGCCCCGCCCAGCCCCCTCCAGCCCCGCCTATGAAGGAGCCATGTGCTGGCAGGCGGGGCTCTGGCCCCACCCAGCCCCTTCCAGCCCCGCCTATGAAGGGGCAATGTGCTGGCAGGGTAGTCTCGCTTCCCAAGATTCCTCACCATAAATGTTAATCTTTCCAATTTTTCAGTTCATGCATCGTGCCCTCACAGAATGCGCCCCATCGACGCTCTTGGCGAAACCTTCTGTATTCGCCATATACTAGTAGTCTGGTCGCATCTCCCTTGCCCCATCCTCGGATGTACTCGGATGAATGTAAACGACCGCATCTAAGTTCCTATCGCCTCCAGACTGGTTTTCAATTTCGCCATTTATTTGCCTTATTCAAGGCCGCATACAGGCCAGTCCTGACCGACCCGCCTACTTACCCCTTCATGAAATCCGTTATATAATGCCATATACAGCTGAAATCTATTTCGGCCCTGACGATGTCCGACTATAATCCATTCTATACTGCCACATGCAGGCCAGTCCTGCCCGCATTCTTCTGTTTATATTTTTTTCGAGGGGTTTTTTTCTCCTATAAAATTAATCCAATCATTTTTATATTTTCATTTGGAATTTTTTACCCCTCGCTTTACATTTTTCTTAACGGACTTCTAATTCAAAAACTATGCATTGCACTTTGTACAGATTTTGCCTACCTCGTCTAAAATTCGCATGTAAATTTATTTTTACTTGCTTTGATGGGACCCCGAAGGGTCTTTAATAATACTAATAGGTATTATTATTATGGCTGTCAGGTAACAACTCATTCCACAGAATCCGACCATATTTTCAAGTATCACGACGCCGAGATCCTAGCAAGAGCTGACAACCTCGTGAGACGCTAGCCACTCGAATCATGGTTCTCAGGCCCGCAGTCCATCAACAAGCGCAATGACCTCCCTGAACCATATTCGGCGGTGAGATATTCCCTGAGCAGGGGAATCAGTTACGTAGGGAAGGCGCGGATACCAAACTATCCAGGTGGCAGCGAGCCAAATTGCCGATTAATCACCATGCCAACATACAACACGGATGATGAAATTGCGACAGTTAACAATTCGGACGTGAACTGGCGGACCATCATCGCTTTAACTACGACCCCCAGCGGTCATCACGAGAGTTGTTAATTATAACACTCCTGTGGACCCCCGACAGCTACGTACTATAAAATTTGCAGTCGTTTTCCTTCCACTACTTTTATCGGCAACCGTTCCTGGTGATACGTTCGAGTGAGGATCCGGAACGTCAGACCAATTAACTTCTTGTTCCAGTGATCGCATCTTCTTCTGAACTGCTTCATGGAACTCGCCCGTTCGCTTCTATCGGCAAAGTTACCCCCGTAGGCGGCCGATGCTAACTCGAACTATATTCCCACTAAAAAAAGTTGTGACCAATAATTGGATTCAACGACCTTTTGAGATGAGCAGCACTGTTTACTCCATTGCGGATCCGTGAGCTAGAAGAGGTACCTTCAAATGTAGGTAAAAAGCACCGTCGGCAAACAGACCTGGGCCCATGGACGCCAAATATGCTGTTCATGCGGTATAAAAAACAACAACCACCCTCAGCCCCATCCCCTTACCTTGCCATAGGTCGAAAGAGGGATAATACTCGATGAACTGTTCGTTCATTTATATCGAAAATCCGACCGTCGATTCCGATGATATCCACCGTCTGCCCCACAGCGGGGCGGACTCATGGACAGTGACTTGCGCGTGGACTAATGCATAGTGATAGTAGACTTTAGTTACATCTACTGCACTCTCTCCTAACCTCACACCTGGACCACCTGTCATGACAGAGTCCAGAAGACCGGAGGCGGAATCGGGCGCAGATGGCTCGCGCGGTCCGAGTCTGCACATAGGTGTACCGTTACGTCCCACATGTACAGCATGTTTATGAGTGCGCATCCTCAATAACGACTGCCATGCCCCGACTTGACCACATGCTGGTTCAGCGTATCAACTGCATAGCCGGTTTTAGGGGAACCGTTCAAATATGAGCAGCCAGTTGGCAAACCGACCCGACAGGAACACAACACGGGTCGTCCGCGAACTGACTCGTCAAAGATGGACACTGGGGCATTCAGCAGGGTCCAACGTTATGAAAGCGGACAAATAGCGACAGTGGGTGTCGGATACATCCTTGTCTAGTACAGGTATTCAAAGGCAGAGCTATGAGATGCCGGAAGTGTCTTCACAATCTAGGTCGCCTCGTTAAACGATTGACCTACCTAACGCATGATATTAATGATTGTATCATGACAGTGCGCACAGGCGAACACTGTTCCAAACGCCAGGGTTGGTGGGCCAGATCGTCGAGCAATCATCATATAAACACTCGACACCCGTGATTAAATTACGTCGGTTAACGACGAGAATGTCGGCCATCAAACAGTCATCACACCAAGTGTAAAAGTCCCTGATGAAGGTGGAGCCATGGATTTTAATAGGTGTGCGGTGGCATGGTGGCTGCGCCCCATAAATACCGTTGCCCATTGTGCATGAAATACCCGTATCTGCTTTCGTCTCTGATGATGGGTTAGAGAAAAAGGAAGGGACTCAATATACGACCCAACTTTGCATATGACTTATTACTGCCTACCGATTCCTATGAAAGTATTGTTGTTTGATTTTGGCACACTGACCAATGTATATTTTCGTTTAAATATCGCTTTCAGCTTCTTTGTCAGCTGGTATACACGCTGATTTGGTATACTTTAATTTTGTTGGCCACCTTGGCGGCTTCCCTGTGTTCCGTTGTTCTGATTCAATATGTCGTGTCGCTGGGTCAAAGTTTCCACTCTACTCTTATGGGGCTCGCCAACGTCATTAGTCCTTGGGTTTCTATTTGATATTTCGCTGCCCTTGTCTCTGAACTTGGCGTTTTATTATGGAGGCGCTATATTTAGCTTCCATTGGTTTTTGGTGTTAAATTTCACCGGTATTCAATTTTCCGGGTCGCTTTTAGGGTCATGCACGGACTTATTGGAACCTATTTACGTAATTGGAACATTTTTTTCAGAACTTCATCCTTTTTTACCGCTCTCTTTCTCATCCATCCCACACATATAACCCCTACTTCCACCGGTCCCGTAAGACCCGATGACCTATCGTCCGCATTCTGGATGAGGTCGCATATTGCTTCGATGCCGAGAGGGAATCCGAGACGTCAGGCGAATAAAGCTCTTGTTCCAGCGGCCGTGGCTCCTTCATGAGTGCGCCTGACTCTTCGCGGAATCAAATGTGCCACTGTCACTAGGGCCTGCGTTCCATCTCCAATGACCATTTTCGTTTACGTGAAGAACGAATTATACGAGGATATACACGTTCTCCTAGAAGCTGTACTGAAGGCGGGAAAGCCAGTTGTCCATGGAGATTTCGATGTCCACGCTGGAACAGACTGTGGGGGTCAGACCATACCAGATCAACTAAGACCACACACAATAAATCCGTCCCTTGTAATAACAGGAGTCAGAGAGCAGTGACAGCTGATTTATTCTTCACACAGGGTAGGTTGCCGCGAACTGACGGTCTGCTTATGGGCCAGGAAAGAACGTCCGTTCGGGAGCGTGTGAAAAGCGGAATGAAGCGTGGTGTGAAATGTACTCACAAGCATGAGCAAGTGGTTTCTTGAGTGTTGGTCATGGGACTAGTTGTTACATGGGACTGGGGTGCACGAGCACGAGGGGCGAAATGCCAAAGGTGACAAGCTACACCGGCCAACGTGTCAGCCAGTGTCGTCTGGTCGTAGATTCTGGCGCGGCTGCCACAGAACCACGCTAACTGGGGAGGAGTTCACGTCGGCCATGAGATCGGCAGCTGTAGCAGCAACAACCTCCTTCCCCTGCAGACCCGCATAGAACAGTCTTCCCATGACTCCATTTTTCGATCCGAGGGAAGACGGCGTTGGTGCTGAACAGCATTCTCATTCGGATCAGCGTGACGTGCTAGTAGTCAGGGCAATGTGAAGTGCAGACCTCCGGACGGATCACTGCCTTGTCACGCCAAAGATGAGGCTCCAAATGCAGACCCTCAGGGGACAATCAGGTAAGTTAGATACTCTATTTCTTGACGTAACTGGACGCCAATTGAATTTTTACAGATGTATGAACCCCAACCTGGAATAAATGTAAATCCTGGAGGCGCATACCAATATGGAGACCCATTACAGGAAACTGTGGGATACCATTTAGGTCATTACGAGGAACGCCTTTGGCCGAACAAAACACCAGCACCGGGAGGGGTTGGAGAACATGACAAGGAAATTTTTAATTTGATTTACGAGAAACATGGGCTACACACGACCTATGCTGATAGTATAACGACGTCAGTATGGCCGCATACTTTCGATGTCGATGTCTAATACGTAGACAGAGTGGAATGCAGAACGACTGGCTGACATTCAGTGCCGAGGAGACCCAGGGATATACCGATTGCAGTGAGATGAAGAATTACACTACTGCCATCAGAGGACCCTACGGCCGTTAAGCCAAGTGGATCCCTCCACTTGACTTGACCAGGATTGAACAACCATATTGAGGGAGAAATCAGGGGTCTTGTAGTGCTGGGCCGAACCGTCATCAGATTTCCTCAACTCAATTCCAGTAACGACCTCGGCCGTCCGCTTTCCACCCGGGAACACTCAGATCAGTGCAACAGCTGTCCAGTTAAAAGGCACCGGAGGACGACACAATTCTAGCCGAAGTTTACAAATACGGCGGCCCACAATTCATTGGATAAGCTGACTTATCTATTCAAGGAGAAATGGGTACAATGGTGGATCTCTTAAAACGTTAAGGATGCCACCATTTTCCACATTCATAAAAGCATGGGGAATCGACAAACCTGTGATAATCACAGGGACATCAATGTTTTCAACTTCGCAGACAAAATGTTCGCTCCTGTCCCACTCAACCGCCTGGTCATTCATCTGGAGCAGGGACTTCTGCAACAAACGCAGAGCGGATATTAAAAATGTCGCAAAACCACGGACATGATTTTTGTGACCCGCAAATTGCAAGAAGAATTCAGGTTAGCAAAAGTAAGAGATCCGGGTCGATAACCTGAGAAAAGGGAATTGCTCACCGGATCATGGGAATTGTTTGGTTGACTTTTCGAAGAGCTTGGGCGGCTCTCCATTATCAAAGCCTAAGAATACGGAGCAAACACGGCCTGTCGGCCAATTTACCCAAAAGGGGGACACAAACCCAACTAACCCCGATTGAGCTGAAGACACACAAAACAGGAGGCCACCAACACTCACAAACGACGGCCAGTAGGCCAAGGCAGCTAAAGAAGGAAAAAAATCGACCAACCCAAGGGCAATTAGTTCGGCTGTCTATTCAAAATTCTGATCGATTTTTGCACTAGACGCTTTGATAATGGAGAGCCGCCCAAGCTCTTTGAAACGTCAGTCAAACAATTCCCATGATCCGGTGAGCACTTCCCTTTCCTGCAAGAAAAATGTCAGGAAATAGGCACTAGCTTCTAGATCAACTTCGCCGATATGACGAATAAGCTTGGCACAGTGAATCGCGGGAACCTGGAGACTCATGCTGAAATCCGGATGTACTGAGCAATTTAAATAAATGGTGAAACAACTTTACGACAGAATGACAACTCACGTTAAGGAAAACGCATTAGGCTCTAAGGCATTCGCGGTGGCTAGTGGGGTGAAACAGGTCTCTGTACTCGCTCCTATCCTTCTCAATTTCATGCTCTCCGCAATGCTGATGGATGTCCGCCGTGAGGAGCGACCAGGTCTCAATGTGAATTTAACGAACCCACGGACAAATGCTTAACATCCGTCCCTTAGAAGCATTTTAGAGATGGAATTCTAGTTTTTAGGCTGCTCCAACTCCAGACTGACCATCGGGACGGCGAGGCCGGTAATCCTGCATCAACCGGCACCACATACTAACTACACCGAACTCCATATCAATGTAGGAAAAACTCGCCACATTAATTTGTATTGGAAGTGCAGTTTCATGAAACATAAAGATAGATGGCGAAAACATAAGTCAGATTTCTAAAGCTAGCCAGACGTTCATTCGGTTAAAACACTTGGCTTGGAACCATTCAGGGCATTGTACTCAACATAAAACTCAGGATATGGCAGGTCAACCGACGTATGAGACGATGTCCACAAGGGTAGCGACTTGCGCGTGAAATTACTTGTAGTGATAGTAGACTTGTGCTGCTTCCACCGCGATCTATCCTCTTTCACCTGCCGGATCCCGGTGTCAAGACAGAGTCCATAAAACCGGAGGCGGACTCGAGTACATTGTCTGCAAAAGGTAAAAAAACATCCGTCTGCGCGTGTCGCACACGCCTGGCCAGCGCGCCATAAATCCCGATTTCACTAAAATGAACTTACATCTGCAGATGAGTGGGAGTGCCATAAAGGCCACAGTAAGCAGGAGCCATCGCAGCCTGAATACTCCAGCATAGATACTGGCTGAACAGCCGGACACGTCTCCAGTAACTATGTCCAAGTCTTCTCCCTGCAATCTCTCGAAGTCTTGCTCTCACGTACATACTTGCTATCTATTTGCCAACAACCACTCAAAAAAGACTCTCAGACCCACTGATGAGCCGTGCACCCTAGTATTGATAACTTACAGCAACGACAACGGTAGCAGCAGCAGCATTGGCAAAACATCCGTCTGACCCGTCGTCAGACGAAGTAAACACCTTGAAATGGTATCGACTCAGTGGAGCCTCAGTGGAACCTACTCTAGCTATTGCTATCAGCCTATAGCTAATAGCTATAGTTATAGTAGGTATTCTTTCTAGGCAACAGATGTTTGGGGGCCCTCTCCCGACTGTTCCCACTGTTGACCTGTTCGAATTTATATATGTATATTTTCAGGTCCCAAGTTCACTTTCGAAACGGAGGTTGATGGACAACTCCCTTTTCTGGATGTCGTTGTTAGTCAGACAAGCGATGAATCACTTAATTAGTTTATCACAAAGTGGCATTTTCAGAAGTCGTCCTACATTTTCTCTCACTAACGCAGTAGTCTTCAGCCCTTTGAATCCAGCCAAAAAGCATCCCTCTAAAGAAGAAAGTTATCGAGTAGAAATGAAATGCCCCTGCAAACTACTTTCCCAAAATGGTTACCCATATGACTTTATACGCCAGTGCAAGAGGCACCGATAATTCAAGGGGAATAGTATTTCCAATTCTAGGGCTGCCCTGGCACCAAAAACAGTCATCTGGCAGACGCTCCCATACGTGAAAAAAGTATCAAAGCTAGTTGAAAGGTAGCTGAAAAACATCAGATTCACATAGCACACCAACCGAAAAATACCTTACGCACACAGCTTGTACGGTCTACGAAAAGTGTGGACTAGCACAACAGAAAAAGTTAGTCCTCAAAATCCCACGTGCCAACTGTGATGCCGCCTATTTTGTCCAAACTGAGAAAGCTGTCTCAACCCGTAAACATACCAAAAAGGCTAATCACGAAGACCCAGCACTACCCTCAATATTGCAGGCAACCCTCTCCCAGCCGTGGAATGCCAACGCTTGACAAAGCAAATTCAATAAAGCTAAGTACTTTTGGCAGGCCTCACGTCTGTACCCAGTATCCGAAGGAAAATCATATCACTAGTAGAACTCCCCAATGCCAGACGCATTTTAGGCCTCTTGACCATTCCAAGGCCACTTTACATACGCACTGTCCTGAGAAACACACAAGAGTACTCTCGAGAAATGACCCGCAAACGTAGATGAGAAGAACTTTGAGGTTGACAGATGAAAGGGACTAATTCATTGGGCGCTAGATAACCGTCTCTTAAGCAGCCACAACAGCTGACGCCCCCATAAGACCAGAGGCAACGGTGACAACGGGAGAGGTAAAGCTCTCATGCACGATTTCCTTTGCAGCCAGCAGCAACACGTCAAGGTCGACCATCTGCGCATGCTGTCTACCACGAAGTCATTGGACTTCAGCGTATGTACTTTCCTCCGTAGATTATATTTGTCGGCGTGCTAACATAGGCCAATAAGGAAGCGAGACCACCAGACAGACCGGTTCGCAGCTAAGAACGGGCTCCTCTAGGACACGGCGTGGGGTGTGTAGATTAGATTCTGAGAAGTTGTTCAGCAGATGATTATTGTTGTATCCGAGGGAATGTACTGTGTTGTCAGACTTTGGCCCAGTTTATTGCTCTTCTCATCTCACCTGCTCAAGTCAGACACGGAATATTTTTTAGCTCCCTAGAAAGTTGCTCTAATAGGGGCTTGGAAGTCAGTAGCTTTATCATTCACTTACGTAGAAGGAAAAAATAATGAAATTTTCATTTTCCGGGCTATTTAGCTTATATGTTGTGGTAAATATGCTACAGGACCCAATGTTGCTGCTGAAATGCCTTCACTCTTTCGAAAAGTATACGCTGGGCCTACAGAACCCATTTGACCCTCGTTGAAGAAGGTTCCATTCGGATAAGGACTTTGCACACTAAGAAAATCATGAAAAGTCCACGGAAAGGTAGAGAAAAAGAGCCTGCACATAATCTTGACAAGTCTTAGTTTTGATAGGGGCAGAATGGGATGTAAGCTTACGACGTGACGGCGTCGTTCACGGATCTGGACTGGGCACACTCTGTCAGGCTGGCCCTATCGATTACGCAGGAGTTCTTGTGGACGATCGCACTGCCCAAGCAATCGGCAATAGTGCGTGCGATCATAACCAGTAACAGATTTCTGGTGCTACCGGAAGGGAAACATCCCTTGGTGGCAGGGAAGGAGGACTCCGAGGGCCACCTCTGCTGGTGGAAATTGAGTATCCCGACATAAAGTCGACAATCCTTGCAGTGAGAGTCTAACAACTGGAATGACAACTTTGGTAGGACCAGGCCCAAAGAAGCAGCAAGTTTACAAAAGTAGCGTACAGGCTGGTTAGACAGTTTAAACTCAGCCACGAGCTGAAAAAATTAAAGTGGCAACTAAGGCAGTTCTCACTGGTCTGGTTTCACTGCAGAACTGAATACGGACGTCCGCTTTACAGACCGCTGCCCTACTAAAAACAATCAATGAAGTTAGTACAGGGCGCTCGTAATCCCCCTGCACTTAAACTGCCTCGGCGACGCCACGACCGTATGACCTTGAACAGCCCCAAGTTGCTGTCGCCCGAGCCTGCACACATTGATCGATAAACCGTCTGCAGTGTCTTTAACCTTCCCAGTCCTCTGAGGACGGCAGAAAAACCGAGTATAGAATTTGCAGTCCCCCTTGACGGTAGTACCTCTCGTTTTTTAAATTCGAAATGTACGAAAAACGCGCGCATACGCTAAACGCCAAGTCATATCTGGTTGCTCACAGTTCGCGCTTAATAAAGTTTACTAATTTTCTATCCACCTTAAAATATTTCACCGAACAACGGGTTTCGACAGTTGAAAGAAGATTTGATTCCATGTTATGGTTTTCGGAATTTATACTCACCTCGGCCATGATAAGACTGTCTACTGTTCATTACAGAAAAGATGCCTCACCACGGCAATCAATCAGTTGCTGGCTGCAAAGATTAGAGAAACTCGGTCTGTGAGTGACACACCACAGTCCGAGAGGTTGCCGATAAGAAAAGGACGAAATGGGAAATGTTTTCGGGTCGGAAATTGACCCTAGACAAGACCACGAATGATGCACACTATACTGAGGTCTAGAAGACAATGTAAGTTCCCTTTTGGACCAACTGCAGCCAGGTGCGTACTAAAATTAACGAACATAAAGTCTAATCGAGAGCACTATACCTTAACCATGAAACAAATGGTCGACGTCATGGAAACTCTAACGCAACAAACTAATTTCGAGCGGGTCAAAGCTAAGCCTTCTAGCCTAAAAGGGTCGCGAGGTCGAGTGCTCCGGTAAGTGAATTATAGTCAGAATACGTTCTCATCAATGAAAGCAAAAACGGTTATATGACATCGCTGCAAGGTATTTTTTCCCACTAGTTCAGGTCTAGTGACATTTTCTAGATGGCTTACTATCTAGTAGTGCACAGACGCAGTAGATTACCATTCTGGAAATCTTCAGAAATGTCTCAGACTAGAACACTTTGTCTGACCTGACAGCATGTCTAGGCTGTGATTGTTAGAAGTCGGTGCGCAGAGGCTTCTCTGCAATGAATAGCCGTACGTTCAATGTTTGTTCACACTCCGGTCGCATATGTTACCACCTCAGCCGTCTGGGGGTCAAGAGCAGCATTAAAGGCCTTGACGTTGTCTGGGTCCATCTATCTCAAATCTTTTTAGCGCGCCTAAACAGGCTGTTTGTAGTCCACGTTCCTCGGGTATGTCACAGGCCTAAAATATATCTACCAGTTTTAGATACTGATCAGGGCAAAACAATATGATTGAGTCTAGAAAGACTTTTCTCTTTGCCCTACAGATGTGTTCCCTGGCATTCGGCAGGGCAATGCCTTCCATCAGGAACTTGTTAAGGTCTTGCAAATGGAAATTTACATTTTTGTCCCCATAGCTCTGAATCTAAATACGAAGATAATGCGTTCTGTCTTTATATAACCGCCAGAAAACCAAGTTTCTTCAAAACCTCGTTCCTTTAACGAGTTAGTTCACTTAGCCACATAGTACATTTTAATGAATGTGGCTAGGAAGATGTTAAGTCCATCGTTCACAAGAAAATATTCGGCCTCCAAAGCATTTGTCCTAGGGAAAGGCTGCACGAGCGTCAAGATGTTCATAAAAGTGCAGCAAGGGACTGAAGTTTTAGTCAATGGAGTCCACGATTGCTTCTTTTGGACTCCAATTATTATCTGCTCTGATCGACTCTTACACCTTGTAAAAAATAAAAGGTTTTTGGCTGCAATAAATAATGATGGTAATGATTAATTTTGCCTTGCAAAGACTCACTACGCAAGGCGAAAAACATATCTGGTCCATAAATTTGGTGATTTAGATCATTAAGGTTGCAGTCTAATCGTTGCCCGCAATCGTTGTGATTAGACTGCCTGTTCCCTATGCTTCTGGCTATTTTTTCGATGGCCGCGCCAGCCTGTAGTTGGCACATTGACCGAGAAACCAGCAGATGTGGTGCACGTTCAGGGAACAGTATGCTTGGAAGGCCACTGCTTACAAGCTCAGCTCCGTTGCCCTGGACGCGGCTTTACCAGATTGAACGATAAAATGTTATGATTGAAAACAAAACCAATCTCTTCAGGTTACTCGAGAAATTTTGAGATAATATCAAAAGTGCTTGAGTCCAGCAGACTAGAGACGGTAGCTTGAATGGTGGCATAAAAGGGGAATATTTCCTGACTTCCGAACATTCGCATTGACAGCAGATTAAAACTTCCTACGACCAGGAACACTAAGCATTCAAACCGTCCACATTTAAACGGTACTTGGGAGGAGTTCTCCCTCTCACTTGGCCTCTTAGAAAGAATCAGGCACCAGAATGAGGGGCTTATTGCGCACAGAACCCGGAGGTGTCCTCTCAGGCAGCAGTGGCCCTGGCGAAGACAAGGCTGGTGTTGACTGCGTCCAGTCATGCCTGAGAGTCTCTAGGACAGTGGTGACCGCCGCTTTGTAGGCTCGTGGGCCACGCTCAAGTGGTGCCCAGTCAGTGTGTGTTGCATTTTCCGAGGAGTGGTGTCCCAGTGGCTTAGGTTGTGGTTACAGGGGGTGGCGCGTTTAAGTGGCCGCATGGGCAGATGCGGCTGTGCGGACGCAGGTATGCCCGAGCAGACAGCGCGTCTGGGACGGCTCACTGCAAAAGGATGAATGACCTTTAGGCAGCGAGATCTTGAACAAGGACACCAGACCGGTCATGAAGGCCGCCCGCTACAAGAGCAGGTACGGCCACAGAAGTAGCAAACACTTGTAAGCAGCACATTGACGGCCCCCACCGAAGACACCCACGAACCTGGCAGATACCTCCACTTTGAACCACGCTGACATCCAGATCTGATTGGTGGCTGTGCGAAACCGTGCTTATCGCTCAGACCACATCCCGGTAACCGTCCTAGACCGGAGGGCTAAACAGATGAGGGTGTTCGGTCTGTGAGCCTCCACTCGCAGTAGTCGCTGATTTCACCCCCACCCTTCTTTCCCACACAAAGTATAAATTACTACGGAGAGAACGAAATCCAACGCAGGATGCAACCTAGACTAATTCGGCATAGATGAGAATGCCATGAAAGCCACAGTAAGGAGAGGTCTTAGCATCTTGACCCTCAGTTCTGAGTAGGACCGATTTATCATGCCGATTGGCAACCTCCAAACCCATGACTTTTTGCATGACGTGATAGATGCAAGGACGTCAGATTTACGATATTTAAAATGCGCTGATTTGTCCTGAGCACAGATTTCCCAATGTCAACCTAGTTTTTTCCTCCCTCGTTACACAAGAAGACTTAGGCTATCCATGGTCGTAGTCCGTCACACGCGCATACCCGACAACTACCAGCAGGATATCACAAAACATTCACGCAAGAGCATACGATGAGATTTGCCAAAATCGGCATGGTGGATAAAGCATTGCATGTGAGAATGCGCACATCGCATGCACATGATAAGCGTGTTCTCTGATGTACTCGACTATATGTGTAGTCGGTACCAGATTTTGTATGCCACACAGAGACGGGCTGTTCAACCCTGACAGCCACTGCGCCCATTCGCCTTCCTAATTGGCTTGACTCGAACCAGCCACCAAGACAGCGAGTAGAGAACGATGTCGATAGTGGTGAACCCATGTTCATGGCAAATCAGCACATTTTAAATATCGTAAATCTGACGACCTTGAATATGTCAGGGTGGCTGCTAACCAAAAATATGTTAGGTTCAGTCGCATGCTCCGCCGCATCCGCTGTGTGGTTCTTGGCTTGTACCCCAGTTTTCAGATCGAACTGTCATCTGACACTCGTATCTTCACCCCTGTATAGTAGCACCTTTTTAAGTTAGTATTCTCAGGTAGTTAGAGGTAAGAAATTGAAGATTGTCAATTATATATAAGTTAGAGGATATTTTTCCGTCTGAGATTACAATGACCTCCTAGAAGAGCCATCAAGTCTACAAAAGAGATTATTAGACCAACTTACATGCCCAGACGACAGCTATTTTGAAATAATATCGGAACATGCAGAGCAGATAAAGTGGCCTTTGTATTCCATGGGCCTTGTTTCTGGAGGAGGTTGGGTGTGCTGAAAACACGTCGAGTCTCCTTAGTCGGCAATCAAACTACTTTATTGTCCTCAGAAGTTTGTGTTGACGAGCTCGTATGGACTGGAGGCCCATCGATAGCCCTAGTGCGTCAATTTTTGATAGTTTCCGTACCTACTGCAAAAAAGGTAACTGAGAAAACAAGTGCAATAAGTCTGACCCTTTTGCGAACAGTGGGCTAAAAGTACTCTCTTGGCTGAACGGTGGGCAAAGTTCGTCTGGTACAGTAAATATCTTCGTGTTAAGATTGGCAATGCCTTGCTTTCCTTCCGATATTTACCTTGGAAGATCAATAAGTTAAAAAAGTAAAGAGAAGTAATTGACTGATCCTAGAATGTCCGCATCCTAGAAGGAGGGCTACAGATAGCCAGAAGGGCTGATATGATGGTAGGAGCAAAGAAACTGTCTTGAATTGATGTATGTTTGATAAAATAATTTAGTACCAGCTACGCGGACCACTATTCAAATGCGCTCGTCCACCGGACTTTATTTAGAGAGCCATGCTGTGAGGTACACAGTGGACGGTCGAATTGGCGGTCATTCAGAGAACCATTTGAGAGAACAGTTTTGCAGTAAACAGATTACTGCGGTGATTCGTTGAATAGTTTTCTAGTAACGGATTCTAGGACCAACACTCACACAATTACCTAGTGACCGTCGGCACTCCCTCCACCGTTATATGCGTTTCTTGCAATCAGAAAACCCCTTGAGTCCGACTATGCCTACCGGTAAGTGCGAAATCACGTTAATAATAAAAAATTCGAGAAAGACATTCAATGACTCCTACGCACATGTGCACCTGTTATAAAGAGAAAGGGAAATAAATTCAGGCCTTACACCACACCACGATGGGTTAGTAGCTGACCGAGTTTTTGGTCAAATTACATTATTCCGGCAAAATAGTTCGTTATAATGCTGCATCTGACTTTTTAGCGTCAGGCAAATAAGGTGAAAGTAAACTATCATGTATCTTCCTCTGTTCCAAAGGCCTCTCGTCCACTAGTTTGTATTTGAGTCCCCCACTCTTAGTTTTGCTTTATGCGATAGGAGGAAGGCAGGCAATGCTTTCGTTTGTCTTCAATTTGTGTGCACTACAGAAGAGTCTAGACGTTTGCTTTGATGACTGTGCAGTACGAGTGATGGTCGAGGTAAAGCGAACGATAGAGAGGACCTACTTAATAACTTAACTCTGTGTAGTAAGGCCATCACAGAAGAGCAAAAACGTGAATTAAAAATATATCGATACTCGTCCCAGCCAGAATGGAAAGTTGGTGCAAACTCCTCGTCAAACCTAGCGGCTAAATAGAAGTAATATGCTGTAACACATTGCCATACAAATAACCTAAAAGTCGATTCAAGCAGTGTAAAAGATTTGAGTCAGGGACCGGTTCAGACAACAAGGCTCTTATCTGTGGCTTTAGGAAGAGAGTGGAGGAGAGCACTAATGTCTGCCAACACAGTACATTACCCCGGATAAAACAACAATCATCTGCTGAAAAACTTCTCGGAATCTAACTTACATACTCCACGCCGCGTCCTAGAGGAACCCGTTCTTAAATGCGAACCGGTCTGTCTGGTGGCCCCGCTTCCTAATTGGCCCATGTGACTATGCCGACATAAATCATCTACGGAGGAAAGTACATACGCTGAAGTCCAATGACTTCGTGGTAGACAGCATGCGCAGATAGTCGACCTTGACGTGTTGCTGCTGGCTGCAAAGGAAATCTTGTATGAAAGCTTTACCTCTCCCGTTGTCGCCGTTGCCTCTGGTCTTATGGGGGCGTCAGCTGCTGTAGCTGCTGAAGAGACGGTCATCTAGCGTCCATTGAATTAGTCCCTTTCATCTGTCAACCTCAAAGTTCTTCTCATCTACGTTTGCGGGTCATTTCTCGAGAGTACTCTTGTGTGTTTCTCAGGACAGTGCGTATGTAAAGTGGCCTTGGAATGGTCAGGAGGCCTAAAATGCGACTGGCATTGGGGAGTTCTACTAGGGGATGGAAGCGAATATGCGAATACCAGGTTCTTGATGTACAGAAGATGAACACGCGATCTCTGGGACAGAAGGTGTATTAGTCTGAGCTTTCGGTCTTGTACAAGAGGCCATCTTCAGAAACTGTGGGAATGCGACATCAAATGAGCAGTTTTTGTAGTCAAGCCATGAAGGGGGGGGGAAGGCTATGAGTGCAGAGGGTGGTATTCGCGAGAACCTGTGTTCTACTAGCGATATGATTTCTCTTCGGATACTGGGGACAGACGTGAGGCCTGCCAAAAAGCATTTAACTTTAGAGACTGAACGATGAGGTTCAGGCAACAAGCGTTTATCGTGAGGGCTCTAAGGCTAAGATCATTTAAAAGCGCGAAAGCAAGCAGGCTGTAGCTTACAGGTGAAATGATGTCAAAACGGTTTCCCTTTAAGACGGATCAAGAAAGCTCCGGCTTGTTTATACTGGCCAGTATGAAAGCCTCACTGATCCTCTCAGCCCTCCCCTAAATCATCGACCGATCCACGGTTAACCATCTGACATTCTATTGCACCGCCCTCCCCTCTCGACTGCAATTACCTGATTTCGTCCTCTTCAGAGGTCAGCACGGTTTATGTGGTCGCTCTGCGAACCTAGGCTCCACTGAGTCGATACCACTTCAAGGTGTTTACTTCGTCTGACGACGGGTCAGCCGGGTGTTTTGTCCATGCTGCGGCTGCCGCTGTCGTTGCTGTAAGAGGCCAATACTAGGGTGCACGACCCATCCGTGCGTCTAAGAGTCTTCTTTGAGTGGTTGTTGGCAAATAGATAGCAGGTATGCACGTGAGAGTAAGACTTCGAGAAATTTCAGGGAGAAGACTTGGAGCTAGATACTGGAGCCAATGCGCTCGAGTCCGCCTCCGGTTTTCTGGACTCTGTCTTGACACCGGGATCAGGCAGTGCAAGAGAAGAGATCGCGGTAGAAGCAGCACAAGTCTTCCATCACTACAAACAGTTTCACGCGCAAGCCGCTGCCCCTGTGATCACCATGCCGCGGGGCACATGGTGGACATACGACGGTTGAACTCTCACCATGTTGGAATGTAGGGGTAATAGTGTCATCCAACATCACAACGCTGTCCGCACTACTCACTGGCGGAATGGATACCATGTGGCAATTTCGAAAACTTAAATTCTTTGCTTTTCACGTTGTTCATTTTAATTGCCGATTTTTCTCTGGAAAAATGTTATACTTGGTACGTAAGTTTCGGAACCTGCCTCATTATTTCCGAAATGATCAGTTTATCACGTAAACTCATGTATGCATTGTGAATATCGGCATAGGCAATAAAGACCGTCGCGGTCGTCCCTGGAATACAGACGTCCTGTCCCATCACTAGGCAAATATAACTTTCGAAAACGACGAAGACGAATACGGGTGATTTGGCCTGTGAAAACTGTCACAAGTTCTATTGATGAAAGATAGACTCGTCGTCCTGTCGGTGAAGACTGACGATAAAATGTAATGGTGACTTCGTGCTTCTTACTGGGATCAAATCGATGGAATGCTGCGAACATAAAACGGTGTTCCACATCCCACACAACACAGACTTGGTGCCAGTTACCTGCGGCCATTTCTGATAGATTGAAGTAAATACAATCGGAAGCAACCCCTGAGTACTACAGGGTTATACAAATCGGAAACAAAAGAGACCTGTCTGTCGCTGAACCCAATGTGCAGTTTTGACTTATATGTTTTATTTTGCTGTTCTGGGTTGTGTAAATAGCTATACAGGAACAACTGTGATCTACAAGTTCAAAATATCATTCAATCGAACAATAAACTGTTTGTTTAGTAAACATAATTACGTACACCTCTCTAGCACTCGCTGACTCATGTAGGTTGATGGGCCATGGAGAAATGGCTGTCTGCTTGCAGATGCGTCAATAAAGTGCCTTGAGTGTGCGCAAATCAGCCGGAAACTCGCGTAGCGGTTATGCGGCGAGAGGAAGTGCTCTGAGCGCTACAACCACCAGGTCGAATCCCAAGTCGTAAGGAGAAAGACAGTAGGCACCAGTTTGCGGGGTTTATTGTGCACAGAAACCGGAGTTGTCCTCCAGGCGAATGTGGACACTGGCAAAGCCAGGGCTGATGTTGACTGCCTCCAGTCAGGTCTGAGGGTCCCTGAGATAATGGTGGCAGCCGCTTTTGTAGGCTCGTGGGCCAAGCTCAAGTGGTGTCCAGTCAGCATGTGTTGCATTTGCCGAGGGGTGGTGTCCCAGTGACTTGTTTTGCTGGTTGCAGGGGGTGGCGCGTTCAAGTGGCCGCATGGGCAGCTGCGACTGCGCGGACTCGGGTATGCCCGATCTGTTGGTCTTGTGACTTCAGGCCAGCTCGTCTGGGACGGCTCGCTGCAGGGGGTGCGTGACTTTGAGGCGGCGAGGTCTTGAACAATGACGCCGGGCCAGTCATGACGGCTAGCCGCTACACTCGTTCGCATTGACACACGCCAAAGTGACTTTTGAGAGTAGAAAACGCTGTGGTCGGAGGTTCAGTCGAGGAGCACTTCTTAGGCATCGGCCGCACGGTGGACCGGACGCCGGCGTT